AGTCTTAGGCACGTCCACTTTGATCTCGAGCCATGATGGCATTCGCAGACTTTCCTCACTTACATCCAACTTCATGATTGACCAATGCGTATCATTGAGGTCTCTCTTTGGTATCACAAACAGAGTATCGTCAGTGCTGCAGATGTGGACCGGCGGCTCAGGCATGCTGAGCGGATCCAATTTTGCCCATACTGCATCATCATGCCTAGTATCTAATGAAATAACTTCTAAGAAATGATTGCGCCAGAAGCATACTATTAGAAGCGATGACTGGGTTATAAATACATTCGGAAAAGGTTTGACAGATGTATTCATACTCGTATCTTGTACTGGGATACAATCACATTGTATTTCTCTAGTACCACAGTTTCCCTGTAGATCTACAACATGGATCTTGGGGATACATGTATACCTATCACTAATACTTGCAAAGTACATTTTTTCATTGTGAATGCAAAAGTTCCTCCCTGACCGAAAGTGTGGGTTGTCAATGGTGATTACTCTTGTCCATGCCACCTGAAGACTTTCCTTGAGAGAATGAGTAGACCGGTAGATCATTGCTCCTTCCTCCTCCCGGCACACAATGTAAGCATGCCCATTGTACATGGTACGACGACGGTCGTAACTGCGCCAGCTATCAGGTAGACTGCCACGAAAAGACCACTGGAGAATATCAAAATCGGAAAGTAATAAAGGATTTAAAAAAAATGGACGGAGCACATTTTCCAGCACAGCTCTGATCAAGATATGGCAGGCGTTTTCAGACAGGGTATGCTACTTGCGAAATACACCACTCCTCACTGCAAGTTGCAACTATACCTAATAGTGAAGAATATTGTGCATTGTGTCTTTTGCACAAAGATAAATAGAGAGTGGAGCAGACGAATGCTAGTCAGGAGGAGGAGGAGGCGAACAAACATGGCGAGTGAGGTCTTATTCAGTAGGGGGAAACCGCTAGTTTCCCCTCGAAGAGCCACAATCGGCCAAGCTAGATCGTAGTGCATGACCAGTGAGATATAGTAGTGCGCACTACGAGGACGAGATATCTCGTCCTTGGCCAATCGCGAGGGGGTCTGTAGGACGAGTAATCTCGTCCTTGGCACTGAATGGGTTAAATTTCTATTTCTCAGAGTTCAATGAAATACAACAACGCACCATACTCCACGTCAAATGTTTCAAGGGGTACATGTCCCTTCCCCCCCCCCCCCCAACCCCACACCAAACAGGACCAGACCTAAATCTTTCCTTGCGGTACCCATGATGTTTGCATCTGGTCTCTTCTTACCTGGGACTTAAGTTGTGGCCGGAGAGACAGCTCATTGTCAGCTCCCTGGATTTCTACTGCGTGGTCAGAATTGGCAGAGACATGGGTTGAAATGGCCTCTTCAGGATCTGCAAGAAAGGAGACAAAATAAGAAATGAAAAAAGAATGGCAGGAAAACAGATTCAAACCTGAGGCATTTCTCTGCACTGTCCCGATGTCGCTACCACTATTCCGTACTGTGATGATAACATCGCTTTTTTGAGGTACACAACATTCTGAATTCTCTTGCTCGAAAATGCTGTTTGTGACGGATCCAAGTGTTGGCGTTCCTGCCGAGTGACTTGACACTTGACTAACACACGATAGCTGCCTTAAGCATACCAGGAGCACGTCGAACCTTCCACTCGGCAAACCTGCAAGAAAGTACCACTCCTTGCTCAACGTGCTGCTCGTGTGCTCCAGACGGCAGCAGCTGTTGGTCAGCCAAGTGTCAGTTATTCGGCAGAAAGCAGCAGCTGCAACATTCGAAGGTGCCACTTTCTTGAAACTACAATGTAAATGAAAAACGAAGATAATTTGACGGTCGTGTGAAATTCCCATCTGAGCGACATGAGGGAGGCCAGAAAGACACGTGTGTTAAGCCTAGCGAACACACACACACACACACACACCACACACACGCACGCACACACACACACACACACACACACACACACACACACACACACACACACACACACACACACACACACACACACACAATATGTACACGTGTGCATTGTGATGAATCAATGCTTCATCACAGCCATATTGGTGTACAGGGACTAATTTACTTCAAAAAAATTGCATAGCAATAATTGCTACACACCCCGACGTTTGCATAGCAACGCAACAATTTTGCATAGCAGTTTTTTTTCGTCGACAATGCAGTCTTCAGTGCACTTCCACTTATACCGTCAACGAACGCCGTGCTGTAATTCCTCAAACCACGAAGCGAGGACGCCTTCTCCTTGCACATCTTGCAAAATATCTTGGTCACAGCTCCACCACTCGACTCAGCGCGAATCCATTCTTTTTTGGGATCAAATTCAGCAATCCACTTGTCCACAGTACCTTGCTTCACAGACATGCCGGCAGTGAAGAGGCTTCATCAATAAGGCTAGCAGAATTTTACAAAGATAAGTCCTGAACGGTCGAGACGCCTACTGCTAGTGAAGCAACGCGGTCTAAATCTCAAAAGCAGGTGAAGTACTTGTCGACACTCGCCTCGTGCTTCCTGGGCTGCACTTCAAGTAAAGTAAGTATTGAGTTAGTTTCCAAGTGCACGTGCTGCGGTGCGCGTGCGGAGATAGTGTGACATATGGCCATGGTCCCGCGGCCCGCGCGTGCGTATGGTGTAAAATCTACCTGCAGTGCAGGCTGGACAACCACACACACACAGTCTAATCTACACGTAGTCCCAGTGCATGGCGTGCCATCTCGTGGCGCCAAACCAGCCACACACACTGTAAAGCTACACATGTGCATGCGCTACGCATGCACTACAAGTCTATGTCCAGGGCCATACTTGGCTAACATGTATGTTGTGTCGCAGTTTACCGCGACTCACTACGAACTTCGAATCGCAGACACTGTGTTTTGCGTCGCAAACTGCGATGCGATACCGGTTAAATTAGTCCCTGGTGTACTTACGATCAACGTGAGCAGAGGTCGAAGTTGCCTTTCTTGCCGCCACACCTAAGAAAGACCGGAAAGGGAAAGACAAAGCATAATTTTACGATTGCAGGGTCACTTGTTTTCCTTATGTCTTAGGTGAGATTCACAGAAGCATTCTTGCAATGCTATGTGCGATACGAAGTGATCTGCGACGCCGCCGTGCGATGCAAACTCACAAATTATCATTCACAGAAGAAGTCAGGGATGCAACGATGCCTTGCTGACGTGCCTCAAAGCTCGGCAATGCAAATGTGTACGTCACTGTGGCATTTGTGTAGTCGGGTACAGCTTGTACAAATCTACAAGCAACTCTTGAACCTTTTCGTACAACTTTGTCGCGAAGGTCAAAATCATACATCACATCGCATGTCACACGGCAGAAGTTGAGCCAAGCAGTGGCAAGCTCTACTTCTGCGATGGGCCAGTTGTGACGGCTGAGTGAGTTGCGCAATCGGTGCGTTTTGGGAATTTCCTGGTTTCAAGGCCGACGCATTGCGGATCACATCGTAAAAATGCTTCCGTGTGTACCACATAACAGCGAGTGACGTTGCTGGTGCAAAGATGCATTAGATTCATATGCTCCCTCCCCCCCCCCCCCCCCCCCCCACACACACATCACCTTTATAGGGGAATACCCTCCACAGACTTGCTGAAAATTCTAAATGCAGCACAATGGCCTCGGGAGGTTCAGTACAAAGGGAGTGATCAGTACAAAGGGAGTGTTCAGTACAAAGGGAGGCTTTTCTGAAGGACCACAAGTTCATCAATATATGCACCAAACCGGCCTCCGATTATTCCGATGCGGCAATATGCACTATTTCTCTTCATTGTGGTCCCAGTGACATTGCCAAAATGATACGGCGTTTGTGCTTTTATAACACGATGTAAATATTATCGCTGATGCACACCGGTTCGCAACATAAACAGCAAGACCCAATGGACACAGTACACGCAACACAACCACAAAACAATGGTATTGAAACTCACCACCAAGAATCTCAGGCAGTGCATTCAAGCATGCTCCATCATCATCGAACACGAGCTTGGTCAGTGCAATCACTGCATGCTCAACGTCCGGTTGGTCAGCCACAGCGACAGACAGATCATCCCGGTCCAAGGATGAAAATCTCCCGGAGAACTCTTCAACCAAGCGCTTCTGGTCGTCAGGATTAATACCTGGAAAAGAAAGCAAAGAGATTCGGACCTTTTGCTCCAGAGGTAAATTGAAGCATATCAAGGAAGCTGTTTGGTTGTGAAAACTACTTCGTTCTGTCAAAAGAGTCCCCTAGAAAACTTGTGTGCAGACAAACATCATGGACCGAAACATGCCTGCACCAACCACTTTCCCAGACGACAGCCAGTCGTCTGTTGACTAGTGATGACCTCCCTTTCATCATGGAACTAAGGCTTAGGAATTAACTGACTCCCTTATCATCATGGGACTAACGCTTTAATAGGAGTTGACTCGCTGTATATATGGGATTATGCTTAGGAGTAGACTCGCTGCTATCGGTGCATTCCTCGTAATTTCTTACTGCACCAATCCGTCTTACCTTCGTCACTGCATGCCGTGGGACGCAAATTGAAGACAACTGCTCCGTCCACAGTTGACACTTCGAGAATGTGCAGACCAGCGAGCAGGCTAGATTGACCCTTACAGAACTCCCAAAGCCTTGCATGAGCCTTGGCAGACATCTGTACAAACACTGCTGTGCCTCCGCTCTCGCTGTGTACACCGTCGGCATGGACACTCTCATCACCAAGAAGATTGCGGAGATTACGTACGACTCGTTCAATGAAACTCGGGACCGTGTGATTATATTCACAGTCGATGATGAACTTCACTATAGATGAGCTCTCGTCTGTTTCAGAATAATAACAGTGCATATGCATGCACAGTGACACATGCACGTTCACGCGTGTACACATCCATCAAGTGAGAGACCGAATAAAGAAGAAAATGGGGAAGTTCGACTTAAAGGGGTGATTTCTTTTTCATGCAAGTACTAACGAATGAAGGAAGGGCGCATCCCCTCATCACTGGTTTGTACTGTTAACCATATGGAGGATATTATTCACTCCTACTCTAGCACTAAAATTAAAACTTTGTTAAGAACAAGATGAAGCTTTTGTACATGGACCATCGATCTGCAGGACAGAAAGGACACATACTGAATACTATCTGAAATGTACGAAGAGTTGACAATACACATTAATTGATGTATGCTCCTATGTATAAGTTAACCTATGCCTGTTTGCTGTTCACATCTGATCACTTGGAAGCACGTTTTTATTCACCGCATAAAATGATGATGCAAAGAAAGAAAAGGACACCGGAAATATGATGCTTGGTGTGAGAGTGGGACTGTGAGATCACTTGGTCACGTGGCCAAACAAAATAAGCTTGCTTCAGGTTGGCACCCCCCCCCCCCCAAAAAAAACAGACTCGCTCGGGCGGGGAAAAAACCTTTTTGGGCAAAATTTTGGTTGCTATGATCAATGATCCTGATGCTTACATCATGATATGTGACGGGCAAAAGCATGAACATACATTCATGTACTTCTGTGATGCACATGTATAATAAATCACATGGTGTAGATCAATGTCACAGTTCACTGACTGCACTCATACAGACTGTGTACTCCTTACAACCTGGAAGTCCACCTGTACTGGATGTCTAGTACTGGATGTCTAGCACAGGATGTCTAGCACTGGATGTCTAGTACTGGATGTCTAGTACTGGATGTCTAGTACTGGATGTCTAGCACTGGATGTCTAGTACTGGATGTCTAGCACAGGATGTCTAGTACTGGATGTCTAGTACTGGATGTCTAGTACTGGATGTCTAGTACTGGATGTCTAGCACTGAATGTCTAGCACTGGATGTCTAGTACTGGAAGTCTAGTACTGGAAGTCTAGTACTGGATGTCTAGTACTGGATGTCTAGTACTGGAAGTCTAGTACTGGATGTCTAGTACTGGATGTCTAGTACTGGATGTCTAGTACTGGATGTCTAGTACTGGATGTCTAGTACTGGATGTCTAGTACTGGATGTCTAGTACTGGATGTCTAGTACTGGATGTCTAGTACTGGATGTCTAGTACTGGATGTCTAGCACTGGATGTCTAGCACTGGATGTCTAGCACTGGATGTCTAGTACTGGATGTCTAGTACTGGATGTCTAGTACTGGATGTCTAGTACTGGATGTCTAGTACTGGATGTCTAGTACTGGATGTCTAGTACTGGATGTCTAGTACTGGATGTCTAGTACTGGGTGTCTAGTACTGGATGTCTAGTACTGGATGTCTAGTACTGGGTGTCTAGTACTGGGTGTCTAGTACTGGATGTCTAGTACTGGATGTCTAGTACTGGATGTCTAGTACTGGATGTCTAGTACTGGATGTCTAGTACTGGATGTCTAGTACTGGATGTCTAGTACTGGATGTCTAGTACTGGATGTCTAGTACTGGATGTCTAGTACTGGATGTCTAGTACTGGATGTCTAGTACTGGATGTCTAGTTCTGGATGTCTAGCACTGGATGTCTAGCACTGGATGTCTAGCACTGGATGTCTAGCACTGGATGTCTAGCACTGGATGTCTAGCACTGGATGTCTAGTACTGGATGTCTAGTACTGGATGTCTAGTACTGGATGTCTAGTACTGGATGTCTAGTACTGGATGTCTAGTACTGGATGTCTAGTACTGGATGTCTAGTACTGGATGTCTAGTACTGGATGTCTAGTACTGGATGTCTAGTACTGGATGTCTAGTACTGGATGTCTAGTACTGGATGTCTAGTACTGGATGTCTAGTACTGGATGTCTAGTACTGGATGTCTAGTACTGGATGTCTAGTACTGGATGTCTAGTACTGGATGTCTAGTACTGGATGTCTAGTACTTGATGTACATGACTGTATATGTAGGCATGCATGCATGATGTAAATGAGCTGTTTTGGCAGCTACTTACAGGCTCCTCGGGCACCTATTGTACACTTATTCAGACCAAAATATGTTTCAGACTTAGGAGAATATGACCCGGTCGACCGACCGTAAACAAGGTTTTTGTTTTGGCCGAATATGGAAAATGCCCACACCCTCCCACACTCACATCCACACGCAACCACACTTACACCCACACGCAACCACACTTACACCCACCATTACACCATTACACACTCACCCACTCACTCACCCACCCACCCACTCACCCACCCTTATCAAACAATCACGCAATCATGCTAGCATACGAATGCTGACCTGTAAACCTCAGTCGTTTGCTGCCACGAATGGCCAGTATGTTCACAGGCACGCTCACTAGCACCTCCAGATAGCCAGTGGTCTCTGTGACGACAGTGTTCTCGTCGATGAAGCCAGTATCCTTCAAATACTGCTTGGTCTCTGAAATGCTACGGTTGTCCCTTGCAGATTCAGTGCCGATGCTGATGAAACAAGGGTGCTTACTTAACTCTCTATGTATATCCGCTGGCGATATGTCTGCGACAGACGAGAAAGAGGCGAAATTGGCAGACACACCGAACACAGTGAAAGCCAGTTCAGATCAATTTTACAAGACAATTGAGAGGAGGAAGTAGAGGTTTGAGCGAACCCATGCCAAGACAAGCCACCAGCGGCACCGAGAATACATTCACGCCCATCCTTAAGCTTCTCTTCGCCAGTGATTGCAGTTTGGTCCATGACGATTGCCATACAACAAGAACACGTGTGGTGTTTTTCAGCCTGGTAGGTCTCTGAAAGATATGCTGGTGTTGTCTTCATTCACCAGTCATGAGTGTCCCCCTCCCTCCCCCCCCCCCCCCACCCCCACCCCTCCCGAGAGGTGTACAGAAAGGAGAAGAGAAAGTGGAGGCAAAGGGGAATGTTGTGAAAGTGATGTTGGTACGAGTGACGGCCAGTTTATGTAGCCGGATGTTATCTACTCAATGCTCTGTTTGTTTCATGGAGAGAAATATGTGGGAGAGACAGCGATGTATCAGGGACTGCTTTGAACAGCATTACAGAGAAGACAGAGTATGCGGCACCCACAAAGCCCTGGGGAGAGCACCATGCATTTCACCAGCTGGCACATCATCCAGCGGGGTGATGGGAATGGTGTTGGTGAAATAATACCAATCTGCAAACTAATTATCATGCTGATGCACTAGAGACAGGTAAGAACTATTGCTTACCAACTTGGCCGTCCGCCCGTGTCACCTGACCCTGGTACTGCCATTCCTGTGCCTCACGGTCATCAGTGATGCTAGCGCTGGACGCCAAGCGGTCGATTTCAGTCAATACTGCTCGCCGTTGTTCTGAGCAAGACCAAAGCAGAACCGAGACGATAAAAACTGAAATTAATTTGAAATTTCTAGCAGACAGCATAATTATTACATTGGGTAGAAATCACCTTGCACTCAAGTTCATATGCGAGTCATGGCTTAGTGCACACGAAGTACTTGCAATGTACAAGAACAATGAGAGAGTAAAACCTACACTAACGGATGTCTCCAACTGTGGGAAAACGCAATCACTGGGACAATGCACATACTGCTACGTGTAGATTGAATGCATATTTTGTCCTATTTTTACATGATACCATTGGCTCCAGGTCCGGGTTCAAACACTACACCAGTAGATAAAAGAGAGGATAAGCTGCATGTTATTTTTGACGTAACGCGTTATTTGGCCCACGCGTTGGAAAACAACGTGAGAGACCTGCAGCTCACGTCGAGGACCCGTTTGACGTAGAATTGCACATCACGTCAAAATTTAACGTGCAGTTTAGCCTCTCTCGTAGCCCTGCGCCTACCTTCTTCCATGTTCCGCATGCTCAGCAAGTCTACGTTCACAGGCGAGGTTGGCTGTGGTACGTGGATGGGTTTCTTTCTCTTGTCAAGGACGGTCTGTGACGTGCGCATACGTGCCACATCCTCGGCAGTGTGGACCACCCGTTGACGTTCCGGTGCTGAGAACTCTTTCATCAGGTCTACTACTTTATTGCAGTCTTTTTGGCATTCCGGAGAAACTGGAGACCACACACGCATGCGCCACGAAACATACCGGTAGAAGGACAAAAAATCCAGTTGTTAATATGCTTGGCAAAGACCTGCAGCTTCTTCAGCCAGAATGTACAACACCACAAGACACAGCTACGCAGTACAGCCGCTGGTGTTTGGATATCCTGGGAAAGGCCAACTCTCCATGCAACCTTGGAATCCAAAACCTTCTGAGATGTGGCCATCTTGTGTTCCACTCAGGGCCCATGCCTATTGTTCCCCACCCCAACGTATCCCAACCCAATGCGTCCCAACACACCGCCCCTCACCACCTTCCTCTGCCCACCTTCCTCTGCCCACCTTCCTCTGCCCAACTTCCCCTGCCCAACTTCTGGTAGGTTCCACATTACACAACATAGTCAGCTGAAGCCAGGGGAGTTTTTTGGCTTGCCCAAGTTGGCATTGAGGCTGGAACACCAGGGTCCTCACTTCTTCTTTTCCAAACATGAACGTTTCTCAGATTGTCACCCAAGTACTAATGGTATCCAACAGTACTTGCTGTACATGTAATACAATTATGTGAGTGTCTCTCAGTCACCTGACTGATAAAGTTTGTACTTACCTGCAACAAAGGTATCCACTGACTGCATGTCATCTAGGAACTTTGAAAAGTTTGCTTCAGGTTCGGTGCTACGCACAATACTACAGAAAGTGTGGAAAGTCTCAGCTGTACCCCTGCTCAGCATATCTAGCAGTCGGTCATTGTGTTTGGCAGAATCATCTTCTACTCCCATCAATTCCTTCTTCTGCGTATCGGTGAGCAGCCCTTCGGCAAGGCATTCCGTGCGGATTGTGCCACAGCTGAGCGCTGTTTTGAGGCGTGGGATCCACTTGCGGAACACTCGACTTGACCATGGCCCTGTGTTGCCCGCTTGGCTCTGCAAAGCCAACATAGATATACACAGCGACACGAGCATGAAATTAAGAACCGACCGGCACACGGGCAGTTCAATTCCGCCTCGGTAGGCAAATAGCCAGCACGCTTCCGCTGCACAAGAAAACTAGCAGCAAATAGCCAGTAGAAACCTGCATGTGTGATTTACGGGAAGCAGTGTGTTAATGCAGAACATCTACACTACACTTTCAGATGTGCAAAACTCTTTTCTCACTGGTGTGATTTGTTTCAATACGCAGTGAAAGTCCAGGATGAACTATAAAATACCCTTGAAAAAGTGTGGCACCCTGCCTAAAGAGTACTTTGTGCGCAGGGAAAAGTGTGGCACGCTGCCTAAAGAGTACTTTGTGTGCAGGGTGCAGAGCTTCTGCGTATGGCAGAGAGAGGATCCATGTCGAAAAATATTGTGACTCAAAGATTCATTGCCGGTGTGTTTCGTTTATTTTTTTGTACATGGACATACATACGCTCTCGCTTGCTTTCGCTATAAAAAGGCCAGGTTCGCCCCTTGGAAATTGCTCTGACGATGGGTGACTGGCACGAAACGTCAATAATTTTTCCAACATCACAACAAAGAATTTTTATTGCAGCGCATGCACAGATTGTGAAAAGCAACTGAATAGAGCGGTTGTCAGTTGACAAACCCCTTTTTCTTCAAAAATGCAGTTGCGTAATGTCTACAAATTTCTTAATCAAAGTTTCATGGCGAAGCAATCATCAGACAAGTTGACAAACAAGTCGTCTGATGATTGCTACGGCATGACACTTTGAGTCACAAAATTTTCCACTACAGTCCATTCACAAAAAGATGGGCCCTGGCTCTGGCGAGCTCCCGTATTAGGCGATTTTCAAGATTTTATCGTACACAGTGCAGTGCTGTGAAACTTGAAATTTGAAAAAGGGTCCAAAAAGGTACCTGAACGTGGGTTCGAACCGTACAATGCACTGTTGCAGGCTGGGTCAAACAGCCTGGATTTTGATGGGTTTTCCCAATTCAGTGCTCTTGGGGCAAAACCTGGCCGAAATCTTATTCTTCCTATGGCTTGCTTTTTGGAGAAATAGACTTCAGAAACATAATTGGAAGAGGATTCCATAGGGGGTTGCAGAAAAAAATCTAAAAAAACTCAACGTTTGACCCATTTATGGACAAAAGCTAGAAGTCCATCTTTTTCTGAATGGACTGTAGGATCCTCTCTTCCATATTAAAAAAGAGAGTAAATTATCGTTTTCGTTCCCGAAGGGAACTCACGACGGCCACTAACACCCCCCCCCCCCCCCCCCCCCGGTAAAGCCTTTTTTTAATTTTTTTTCATAGGAACTGTGTGTTGCTCCCTAGGTGGTAGCTGGTGTTTTCCCCTGCTGACTTGAATTCTAGATGGCAGTCATGAGTCAGTCAAGTGAGAATTTAAGTCGGCAGGAAAAACGCGAGCTCCCACATAGGGAGCAGCACACTATCAGTCCCCAAGTATTGTGGGAGTAACTTCAACCTCTTCTTCACAGGAAGAGATATTTCGTACGAAAGTTATCGGATATGAAGTAATAGTTTTCAGCACCTTGCTTTATAGTATAAAAGGGAAGAACGGCGGCCAACATCCAGATCTCACTTCTTGTTCTCTGCTGACTGACGAGTTGAATGGGGTTTGTTCGAGGAATGTCCCTGCGTCCTACATCCCCTTCGTACGAGGAAGCTCCCTGCGTCCTACATCCCCAATCAAATCTGCGCACCTCTGCCAAAGCGCAGCGAGTTCCCCTTACAAGAAAGGGGTTTGTGCAAAACATTCACTTGAAGCGCTTTTTTGCCATGGACGACAATCACGGACAAAATGACATGCTAATAAGCTGAAGTTTTCGGGGTGCTTAATCGAATGATGATGATCCGAGAAGGCTGCAACATGTCACACAAATTTTACTTCCAATGGTAGGGAGTTCAATTGAAAAACCAAATTCGCGAGTTTCACATAAAACGCTTGTTTTTGAAACCGGGAAGATGTGAGAAACAACCCGTGAAAATTTGAACTCAAAATTCCAAGGCAATCTAGGGTTATAGTTGATTGAAGATCGGAAAATGGGGATGAAAATAGTCACAGAAGTAAATGCAAGTACGTATGTGGGCCGTGTGGTTTCCGTCCAGTACTGCACTATCTGGTGCGTACATGGCGATACAGGATGTGTGTGCATGTATGCAGTGTGCACGCATGCCGCGCGCGCCTACTTGCAAAAGTCACACGTTTTCACAGTCACTGCTTCTACAGTTTGCGCCCAGTTCACTCGATATTTTTTGTCAACCACCAGGAAATCGCCGTGGGCTGGTTTCTGTGATCATTTTCCTTCTATCGCGATAAAGCGCGAGCCTAAATGTTCTAGAATCCTCTTGTTTTAGACTTATTCGAGGCCGTTGAAAACGAAAATCGGGTGGTCCTCGCGGGGCCGAGTACGCATCTGGTCGAAATTAGTACTTCCAAGTGCATCTGCGCGAAGCGCGGAGGCATTATTGTTGGAAGCAAGGCTTGTGTGGCACCATTGGAAGGGTAATGACCTCAGCTATCTAAAAATAGCATCAACAAGGCTGAAAAGGCCACGGAAGAAGATACTTGGGCCTCGAATTGCATCCCGAAATGCTGCCACGAGGCGCCCATTCACTTTGTACAGGCGAGCTGTGACTGCATTTTTCGCTTTTCGGCGACCGGAACCAAACTCCCTACCATTGGACCACAACCTCATGTCACTCTTCAACATTAGACTGGTGACATTCACCACTTACGAATGCACCAGCGAGTAATTCAATATCATCATGAAGAAATGCCTCGACCTCTTCAAGATGGCAAAACACACTCCTACGTCGGTTATCCGGACCCCGTAGTTATGGGCACTTCGGTCTACCGTGCACCCTTTGGTTGAGTTTCAGTGGAGACACTTCTTCTACCCTTTTGTCACTTTTAGTGGAAATAGTGACACCACAATTATACTATATCCATGGTCTTTCCCCATCAAAATGTATGTGATTTGGAGTTATGGACATTTCAACATTACGGGTAGTGTCCGGTCCCGGACCGCCCGGACAAACGAGGTACGAATGACTGATGCAACTGCCGTCACTATTGTAGCAGGGGTCACAGCAATGTCTTGCTGACTTGCTGACTGCACGTGCCCCCAGACAAGTGTTAGGTAGGTCATCATCTCCCAAACATTCCCCGTACATCCTTTGCCTAGGTATCCTGCACCCCGTATTTCTGTGACACCCTTCGTTACTCTGGCCTGGGTAGCTGCTCGCGCGCCCACATTTGCCATAGCTACCCGGGCAGGCACAGTGGGTGCATTTCATCACGCACGTGAATCGATCCATGAATGGAATCTCGCCGTTCGATTTCATGTCATGAGCCCTGGAAGGATGACAGTAAGGAAGCGCCCAGGCTCGAACCCCACAGGATGCAGTGTTACGATGCACCGTGCCGTCTCTCTATGTACTGCTAGTCCCTTGATCACATGATACTGCATGGATTATACACTCATACCTCAAAAATCCAGGCACTGAAGTTCAGTCTACGGGCTCCCTTTCGGGTGAGCTAAGCTACTCCTTTGCTACTTTTATTGGAAATAGTAAGATTACATTTCATATCTCTTATGGCCTCTCCCAATCAAAAAGCAGGTGATTCAGTGCTACGGGCAGTGCCCAATCCCGATCGCCCCTCTAAAATACACAAGGAGTGTGGACTGATATAGGCTCCACTCTCTACAGACTTCAGTTTTGCATTACAATAATTATAAGCTTTAGCAAAACGCACTGTGACTCCTGTCATTTATAATTATGTCTCTTACCAGAGAGTTTGGCTGGGGAGGCGTTGCTGAATCTCCTGTTGCCTTCTTGGTAACCGACTCGCGTCCAGTCAGAGATGGAGCAATGGGCTTGGCAGTAAAGCTCTCTGTTGGCAGCGCTGACCGCTGGACTTGCTGCACAGCATGTCCGCCTGGGTGTTTGCCACCAGCTATTGCTGGGCTCCTGGCCAAGCTAGCTGCCCTGGCACCGGCTATCAACGTTTGGTGATGTTTTGGCTTTGGGGCTTGATTTAGGGCCAGTCTGACTGTTTCGTGCCTATTCGATTCAAAACTAGATGCTTGTGTGGAGACACTAGCAGACCTGAACGGAGCAGCTTGTCCAGGTTTCGGAGAGGGCTTGGGATAAGCTGGGGCGGATGTCGCCGCCTCAGTACCATCTGGTTGGTTACCGCCAGCCGCTAGTCGTGCGTGGTCACAGAGCGGTGGTCGTGGAGGAGACACAGGAGCAGAAGTCACTACCGGCTGCACTCTGTGAACCGTAGTGGGATCCTTAGTTTCCACTGCTCTTGCTGTGTTGTGGGGAGTGACGGGCTTTGGGCGAGTAGGAGGCTGGGGGGCTCGACTGGTTTTCACAGTTAGACTTCCAGCCGATTTCCCTTCCAGACCGGCTGAATTGAAGGCCGCTATCATTGCAGAGACACCGGTGGGCTTGGAGGGAGATGCGTGAGTGGCCTGGGGTTTAACAACAGGCTTTGGTTTGGGTGCTATGGCTGGCGGAGACCGAGTTGCTTGGCTGGGTGAAGGTGGTGGGTTCCCGGTGAACCGGGCTGGTTGACGTCGAGTTCCTCTATTTGCTGCATCTTCATTGCCTGTGTTAGAGAGGACACAGAGAACAGCAAATAGCCGAATCATTTCACAGCCTCGCAAAATGCCTCATTGCATGCACACACACACACACACACACACACACACACACACACACACACACACACACACACACACACACACACACACACACACACACACACACACACACACACACACACACACACACACACACACACACACACACACACACACACACACACACACACACACACACACACACACTCCGTGACAAGCACCTTTGCAAAACTTCAACGCAGGTTGGTGCCATCAATATGCACTGTACAGATATGTAGCAAAGCAACTCAAGGACATGCAGTATTGTCTGTACATGTACAGGCAGGTGTGTAGCTCCTGTATAGTCAGCATAGTCCGGTCAGTACACCAGAAAATGGTCGTCATAGCTACTACATAGTCTTAACAGGCAAAATGGCGGCTATGAGGTTGCCGGTGGTACATGGTCACTACACCACAGATGGTTGAGCTACACCCCCTATGTACAATTCTGTGAGTGTCTCTCAGTCACCTGACTGATAACATTTCTACTTACCTCCAACAAAGGTATCCACTGACTGCATGTCATCTAGGAACTTTGAAAAGTTTGCTTTAGGTTCGGTTCTACGCACAATACTACAGAAGGTGTGGAAAGTCTCAGCTGTACCCCTGCTCAGCATATCTAGCAGTCGGTCATTGTGTTTGGCCGAATCTTTTATCGCCATCAATTCCTTCTTCTGCGCATCGGAGATCAACCGCTTGGCACAGCATTCCACACGAATTGCATCGCAGCTGAGCGCTGCTTGGAGGCGTGGGATCCACTTGCGGAACATCTGGCTTGACCATGGCCATGTGTTGACCGCGTGGTTCTGCAATAACAACAAATAGAGTGCACACAGTAGACCTTGGCGGATAATGCTCGAAAAAATTGGCAGATTCTGCTTGAAAAGCAGTGAAATTGGCAGAACAATACAAAACTTATGGCAGGCACTTCACCTTGCCTTGAATTCTGCTCCATTTCTTTATCCACATATCAAACATGCATGAAAGCATCCCGATAAAGTACCAAATTCTGAAGATAAAAAAATCTGCCGGCAGCACCTGTCAATAGCTAGCATACCATGAGCTGAGAATCACAGAAGCTGCCAGTAAGGTACGACCAGGGAGTCGTAAAATACCGGTATTTTACAACTCCCTGGCTACGATCAGTACTTAGCAGCATACATGGTGCCATGCAAGTTCTGTTTTTTTTGTTTTTGTTTTTAGCACTGCCAGAGATCTGTGCTGTGTTGATCAAGTGTTCATCGGGGGATGAGACAGCCCTCGCTAGCTGCAGATATATTCGTATGGGCTTATTGCTTGCGTTTGGCCACTGCCATTTCAGGGGCCTGGTTGGCTGAGGTAGGCCACATTGAAGCGTTACTGTTCGCTGAAGATAACCAATAATACCAGATGGCCCTTTACACGTATTGGCACAAGTTTTAACCATCCAATGATAGCATGGAGCGGGTACATGTGTGTGTGTGTGTGTGTGTGTGTGTGTGTGTGTGTGTGTGTGTACGTGTGTGTGTGTGTGTGTGTGTGTGTGTGTGTGTGTGTGTGTGTGTGTGTGCGTGAGTGCCAGCTAGTTCGGTTGGTGGGTACACTTATGCCTGATTGTGTTGGGTCTGTTGCCAACAGGCTCGGCTGCATGATGGTGTATTGTTGTATCTGCCACCTTTGTTGGTTTCAGGGTTCGTATACTTTCTATTTGAAGTATACATACCTGTTAACCATGGACTGCTTCTGGCTAGATTAACTCTTGTGTAATCAATAGTGCTAGTGACGCATATCAGATCCACTCTGAATTAGCCACCCACACTATTAGCAAGTATTACCTTCACTGGGGGCAGGGGGAACTGCAGTTGGATCCCGGGACGGATACCCTGATGCTGTCAATCCTTTTTCTGCACCTTGTCCTCACCCACTTACTGAGGTGTGGTGAGCCCATAAGTGGGATCATTTTCAAGTCCACCCAGAGTTTTGGGGATTTCAGGGGGTGTCGGCCGTTGGGCGATTCAGGAGCCAATTGAGTCATCTTTCCAAGATTCCTTTTGAGTCTCTCTCCCCACTCCCGGGAGACCCACGTGACCAGTTTTGGCAGTGAGCAACAAGTACAAGTACAAGTAAGTGCGTGTGTGTGTATGTGTGTGCGTGTTTGTGTGTGTGGGTGTGTGCATGCGTGTGCGTGTGTGTGTATGTGTGTGCATGTTTGTGTGTGTGTGTGTGTGTGTGTGTGTGTGTGTGTGTGTGTGTGTGTGTGTGTATGTGTGTGTATGTGTGTGTGTGTGTGTGTGTGTGTGTGTATGTGTGTGTGTGTGTGTATGTGTGTGTGTGTGTGTGTGTATGTATAATTATTATTATGTGTGTGTATGCACATGCATGTGTATGTACTGTGTATGTATGTATGTTTGTGTGTGTGTGTGTATGTGTGTGTGTGCACGTGCGTGTGATTGCCAGTGTACGTGCGCATGCAAACATGTGTGTGTGTGTGTGCACACTGTAAGATGTCTTTGAGACAACATTTTCAGAATTTGGCAAAGCAATGACGTGTGGACAATTCATACCTCTGCTGTAGCCATAACTGCGACAACAACAAAAGTCACGGACGTCAGTCACCATCTGTTGTACATGTACACACAATAAACCACACCAAAATAGACGTGGCACATCATGAGTGATGTTGAAATGGATAACATTCTTCAGAATGTTTTCAGCGGGTACAGATTCAAAAAATTTCACGGTTCGCGTGAGACTCGGCCAAAGGCCCGGTTTTCCGTATCCGCAGGAACGCCACTGCCCTCTTGGATCAAGGCGCAGATGCAGTTCCTAAGCGGTGGGAGGTGAGTAGATCAGACTTCTAAGCAGGACTTGAACCTGGTACCCTCTGTTTCTCAATCATGGTCTCAGACCATCCCACTATCCCTGCCTGCAGATTCCAAAGAAACCCTAAAATTTTAAAAGCGTTTCACACTTTTGTTTCAGTGGAGGCAAGGTTCCAAGAGCGTGCACTGAGCATTGACAGGAGTGCATCACCCCAAAGAGTAGGCAGCTCCCGCATACAGTTTTGTCCCAACAGAATTTCAAGTTGACGGCATTGTTTTGATGCAATGCTCCTCTGGCCATAATGATTTACAGCGTTTGTACAGCTTATCAAACCATCACACATCTTTCCTTGCGCTACCGTAGAATCCCGCGGATAAGCCCATGGGCTTATCTGTTTCACAAGGACATTTCGGTGGGCTTATACGAGAACATGGGCTTATACGCGGGCATGGGCTTATACGCCGACACCAAGTTGTGCTATTGAAAAGTATCAAGGAAGTGTGAAGTACATTGCTGAAAACCACTGTGCAAACAAAAACAACCGATGATTGTGCTGAAATGTACGAAAAAAACTATAATGTGCATGACTACGTGCATGTACATGTACATGGTATGGCCAATAGTCCATAATTTATGGACTCTCGGTATGACCTATGCCCATGGGCTTGTACGATGAAGCTGTGTGATGTTCTAACAAACCCTGGGCTTATGCGCGGGCATGGGCTTATACGCGGGTGGGCTTATCCGCGGGATTCTACGGTATTTTGTACTAGCTAAAGTCCAGGATATGTCTGATAATCGGCGCAGCTTGCGTCATAATATGACGTCAACTTGAGGCAGTTGGCTGCTCTCAACGTCGAGAACGCAGGTCCAGAGTACGAGAAGCATTTCGAGTCCTCCGCTCAGCAAATTTACAAGGGAGCACCACTCCCTTTTCATTGCAAAGTGTGTCGGGGAGTCCAAACCAGGAGCTGAAAGAAGCCCCAAGGCTTAAGCCCTCTGGCCCTCCCGGATGGGTTATTCGACCATGCACGGTGAAATAGAAATGCGGAGCTGCTTTTGATTCGTGGGTCGCATTTCTTTGACCGCCACTGTACTGGTACATATACTTTGAAGTAACAGTCCATATATTCCACACACGCCATGTATAGAGATACTCTGACCAGTAGTCAACGTTCCTCTGTATACGGAGTTCTGGTAAGACTTTTAATATCATGTACATGTGCTGTGGTGGACATGGAAATCCGGTCGCACGTCTAGCGGCCCCAGGGCGCTGGCCATGCAGCCGTGGATAAGCGGAACGTGCATTACTAGTATGTGATGCAGCACAGCGCGCTGGTCGCATCGTACGTGCTGAGGGCGCCGGCCCCGGTCCATCGACTGGATTTCCATGTCCACTACAGTACATGCACTATCACACAGTGACAAGGTTTCACATGGTACATCTACAGCTTGTATGGTGTTTTGAGTTTCCGACGCCCTTCCGTGCAAACGACCGTGATTACGTGCCCGAATAAAATACCAGTGGGTGTAACCATGCTTTACTTATTTATTATTTCGACCAGTCGGCTACCATACTTCTTTGTTCCTCTTGGAGGCTAGACAAGGGGACGTAGCCATGTTAGGGGAGTGAGCCGGACTCTCGGCATCGGGACTGGAACTACAGCTGGCTCAACTCGACTGTACTGAGTGAAGAAAACCCACACCTATTCACCCATTCACCCATTCACCCATTCACCCATTCACCCATTCACCCATTCACCCATTCACCCATTCACCCATTCACCCATTCACCCATTCACCCATTCACCCATTCACCCATTCACCTATTCACCTATTCACCTATTCACCTATTCACCTATTCACCTATTCACCGTACTTTACTCGCACTCGCAGTACACAAGCAAAATAGTCATTGAGTTGTTGAGACGCTCACGGTAGCATGAGCCATGCATACCCGTTACCGGTGCACTGCGGCCACTTCAGGAAACGAGAACAAACAACAATACCCAAGAACCGAACAACACTGGCCAACCACTTACCCAGAATTACTGGAACACCATGACAAACGGGGACGATGAACGTCCAGTGGCGAGCGCTCCTGCAGCCAGGAGTCTATCACGGTTTGCTTGAATCCTGGACACGACTTTGAACGTCGTAGGTGGATAGGCTGTAGCAGTTCTCGACGTCGTGACGGTATAGAGCAGTCGAATGGAGCCTCCGAGCCAGTAGGAAACTTCAATGAAACCCTTTAGCTAACACACAGATTCTTACACAGCCTGCACCCAAACAAACTTTGACACGAAGCAGCAGACGCCGAACTAACTGTAACACCACCTCGCTGCCTACAACAACTCGTCTACAAGCTGCCTGTAACATGAAAAACTGAAGAAACTACATCTACTGATCTAGCGCTAGCGCTGCAGTGAAAATATTTCACCACGAAGCTCCAGTGCGGAAATGGTGCCCGTTTCGCCGAGATGAGCCACTAATTACTATAATTACAGTGAAACCTCGTTAAGAAGAACACTGATAAGACAAACGTTTGCCTAAGAAGAACTAGTAACTGTATTGGATAAACCCTGCGTATTCACTGGGTTAACATATGGATAAGAAGAACTCCCGTTATTCCGAACAAAATATGATCGGTCCCTTGATATGATGTTCGTCCTAAAAGAGGTTCGACTGTATTATTTATCGCGTAGATCAACCGCAGCATGCAGCAGCAACGGCAGTGCGTGACGACTCCGTGAGGCCGGGTGGCCCTGGCCGGTACGGTACGGGGGGGGGGGGGGGTAGATCTACGATACGGGTACGTCCGTGTCACGTTTTGTGGATGACATGCCTGTTACTGTGTTAGTGTTATGTATGCATAGAGTATAGTGTACAACGGTAATACAACCTCTGTCCGCAGAACTGCATGTCCTGACAGTCATTGTTAGGCTAACTTAGGGTTGGGGGCCAGTTGTGTTTATTAGTTTGACTTCGACTGAACACAATCATGTTCAATGACAAGGAAGCGAATGAGGTCCAAGTAACCCATGGGAAAACTTGGAAAGGTGACACAGATGAAAAGAAAATATTGGAAAAATTATGTCATTGGTGAAGTGCGCCGAGCCGCCGACGCGGCATGGCCCTGGCGGCTGCTACAGCACCGAAACGACGAGCGGCGACCGTGACGGCACCACGGTCCAAGAGCATGAAACGAGGAATAGTCTGGAACGAGGAAGTCGAAGACGGTAAGAGACCTCGGCTTGCACAACTCATTCCTCCCCGCCCCCATTGAAATTATAGCAATAAAAACTGCTTTATGGCAGTTTTCTAAAAAAAGTTATTGTGTTCTAGTCCATGGACCCCGTCTAAAAAGTAAGAAATTAACGAAATGTGGTAGCTGAAAATTAAAATTTCACACAAAACCTCACAATAATCACAACACTTGAAATGCTGCTTTCAACACTAAACTTGTACTGCACCAACAATTGGCAACATGCATGCATAGGAAAGAGGATCACGAGGGGAAAAGGTCTTCTGCATGTAGCTTTTCATTCTGTGTGTGATTATTGTGAGGTTTTGTGTGAAATTTTAATTTTCAGCTACCACATTTCGTTAATTTCTTACTTTTTAGACGGGGTCCATGGACTAGAACACAATAACTTTTTTTAGAAAACTGCCATAAAGCAGTTTTTATTGCTATAATTTCTTTTGTTTTTTCTGTCACCAATCAATGGAATGCCCTATTATGGCTATATCAATATGTAAATGATGGCCTTCACATCATATCAATACCATAATAATAATTATAATGATATACGCATTGATGTGCAAGCATTTTCTTGCAGAAAATGGCACTAGCATAATGCATGTTCTTCTGCGGGGAAACATGTGAGCAGTGGTGGTGATACTTTTTTTATACGGAGGTCATTCTGTGCATGTTGCTGTTGCAGAATTTCATGACTCTGTCATAAATTGTCTTGCCTTTCAGATTTCTCCACCCTCAATCAGATTTATTTGAGAAATGTAGCCATGCGCCAGGTGCGTGTCACAGATGTTTTTGTTGATTCTGTGTTTATAATGGTTTATAGTCATGGGTTATCGTGATAAGGTCATCCAGCATCATATTGAAACTGAAATCGTAATCCTGTTGATGTCGATACAACTTTTGGAAGTAGTTCAATGACTTCAAACTGTTAGTCCACGATTGTCTAAAACAACACAGCAAAGGAGGAACAATAAACATGTATTAAAATGTAAACGAATACATTGCTGAGTCCAAAACCTCGTTCCAACAACTACACTGATCCTGAGGAGAAAAGGGGCAAGGCTATGGTTGGAGGTACTGAGAGATAAACAAGGCACTCCACAATAATAAAATCTTACACATATTTTGGTGAGTATGAATGATATCCAGTCGAACCTCTTTAGGACAAACACCAAGGGAGCGATGGTATTTATTCTGTGAGCTTAGCCTATTTTATAACCAGAGAATACAAATATATCTCCAATAGACATACGAATAGATTTCTTCTACAGCGAAAGATTCTAAGCCACACCGACTCATTGACTCGTCTCGTATGAAACAATTGAGTCACTAGAGAGATTCTGCAAAACGAAAATGCGTACAAACTTTCGCTCTACATCATGAACTGCGAAACTTCGCACCTTTGGACGCGAAACTTGCAGGGAACGCGAAATGAACTGTCGTAGGAAATTTCGTGAGATCGGGTCATGGCGTACGTGCACTTGGCCCGCGCAAACTACGATAATGTGCAGAACGCAAAGTTCGTGCAAAACTTCGTACACACTTTCGCAAGGACTGTCACGAAACTTCGTTCGAATTTTCGTTTTGCAGAACCTCTCTACTGAAACTTTCTTTAGCAACATGACGGCAAGTGAAACAGCAACAGAGAAAGTACGATACATGCACTCCACATTCTTACAGGTACTACAAACAGATTGCAGGTCGTAATTCTTGCTTTGGCGGCACGAAACTATATTTGGGGCAGTGCAATCTCGGCGGTACTCACAAATTAAACAGCCCCGACTTGAGTAGACAAATCCAATCATACAAGTACGAGATTTTCACGAGACGAGACTGCACCCATTGGCTTGTTTCGTATGAAACAAACAAGTTACTGAACCTCTCCACAATAGAGATTTCCCCTGATATGCGAATTTATTTTGCAAACTCGGTCAATTGGTACTTGAACCTTTCCCTCCAGATTGGGAACTGCCAACGATAGTATGCCACTGACCAGTGCCTTACTTGTAACGTACCAATGTAGAATCTACAATGAATATGAGTATTTCGACAACACGTCTAACATAAGCCTTACCGTCAAGAAGTTGAACTCGCGTTCTTCGCACACTGTAGACAAGGGCAAAGAGATAAAAATGGATCTAAATCCGAATAAAATCAGCACACGTTTCCGTAAATGAAAGGTGAACATAAGCAAATGAATCGAAGGAAACCGGTCAACTTAGAGATCACCTGTCATCGAGTATTCCGTAAAAGGACGCCTCGCAGCTCGGCAGCAGAAAAGCAAAATTTAGAAAAGAGATCCTGTCAACTTTTCCATTATTTATTGCATTCCGCCCCAAAATCAGCACACTTTTCCTGAATGAAACAGTCAACACAAGCAAATGAATCAAAGGCAACTGGTCAACTCACCTGTCATTGAGTAATATTCCGCGAAAGGAGGTCTCAGCAGCGCCGAAACGAAATAAGCCAGGCCATGAGACGAAATATCCGAAACAGCTCATGCAAGAAGCAGTTCCAAAGAAGGAAGTTAGTTCCTCGCGCATGGACATCCGAACACGGATCCGCGGTAGGGCTGACCCGAATTTGCCAGCTGAATCTCGATATTTTGCGGCATAATTTTGCTCGTGCATCGTCGAAATTTTGCTTTCATTTTGCTAGGCCACTCGATATTTTGCTCCCTTTTTGCTCCAAAATTTGTGTCACGTGTGAGAAAACTGACCGAAAGTGGGTTACGTGTTGGCAAAAATGAGAAAAAGTGAGTCACGTGTTGGTAAAACTGTGCCGAAATGAGTCATGTGCACCGTATTATGTGTAAAATCTCCCAATTCCCAGCCAACACACCGATATTTTGCTCCATTTTGCCAGCAAATTCCCTTTCAAAATTCTTCGATATTTTGCTAGAAGAATTGCTAGCAAATTCGGGTCTGCCCTAATCCGCGGACTGCATGCACTGAACACAATGTCTGCCGTGCACGTGCACAGCACACGGCTACCACGCGTTGGTAGATCTAATACCGAGCACCTTACGTAGAGACTTACGTAGCCTAAGTGAAATATCGAGCACCTTACGTAGAAACTTACGTAGCATAGCGATGTCGTTTTTTCTGCCATGTGAACACAATAATAGAAAAGCTGACAGGATCGCTTTTCTAAATAAAACACTTGCATGCGATTGAGGAGGATACAGTTCTTGCATGCCAGGAAAGGAGATTGAAGGAGGTCACGAAGACGACATGTATCTACGGTTAACGCGTTGGGTGCTGCACCCAGTACCAGTGGCGGCAGTGCCCGCAGTGTCAGGGCGCGGTCCTGGGACACAGTTGCTCAGCTGCATGCACCCAAGGTTTCCTACTTACTGTCCATTCAGAAAAAGATGATATCCTAGCTTTTGGCCATGAATGGGTCATAACGAGAATAGGAGTTCAGCCCGGTTTTGCCCCCAAAGCACTGAATTGGGGAATAAACATGAAAATCCAGGCTGTTCTCTGCACTTGCATAACAGTACATTCGCCGTTCGAACCACAGTTGAGGCACCTTTTTGGACCCTTTTTTCAAGTTTCGAATCTCGCAGCACTGCACAGTGTACCACAAAATCACAAAAATCACCAAACACGGGAGCTCTCCAGAGCCAGCGCTCGTCTTTTTCTGAAAGGACTGTGGACCGCGCAGTACATCTAACATGGAGAGAGTGGGCGAGACTAAAACATAATGGGATTGGGGAACAGTGCATGTGCTGGTGCCAGGGAAACTCCAGCACATCCGCATAGGAACTGGAATTATACTTTAATACCGGGAAGAATGCCGGGTGAACTTCACATATAGTCAGCAACAGCAACAACAACAACAACAACAATTGCCGATGGTGCCATCGTGAGAATAAAGAATTCAAACAAACAATACCTCTTATTGGCCATTGGCCATCGCGAGAATAGAGATTTGAAAAACAACATACGTAAGAAAGTCCGTTGCTCCCCACAACCAAGCTCGTACTTTTCCGCCAACTTTACTTGACACTTGACCCCAAGTCCAAGTCAAGTGGGCGGAAAAGCGAGCGCTCCAGTGTGGGGAGCAGCCAACTTTCCTATAAAAATCAAAACAATTAAATAATCATGGAAGTGGCTACCACATCGTATTCACATAAAGTATTTTGTGGAGTATAAACCTCACCCGGATTTTTTGTTACGATGTACACACATCTACCATGGTAATCACTATCAATTTGAACTGATTATGTCCACAAAGAACGATATAGGGCTTTATTTATTTATTCAACATCTCCTGGCCCGTCCG